ATGTGACTTTAAGGACAGGACTTCCTCCTCCTTTTAAAAAGTACAGATACGGTATGTGTTTTTCCTTATTCTTTGCCTGTATGTTGATATTTATTTTGCTTTAAGTACAGAGTAAAGAACTAACACAGGGAGGAATTATCTCATAAATGTCTGTTGAAAGAGTGTGAACTTCTTGAGTTAAAGTAAGAGCAGAGGAAGAGATTCAGAAGGAGTAAACATTCATGCTGATGATGCCCCTTCCAGTCACAGAGTGCAGGGAGAGACTGATGTACATTAGTGTTAATACAAGAACAAATTGTTTTAAATCTGCTGCACAGACATTGTTACTCATTTTCTTGTTTTATATAGTATTAATGTATACAGTGGCTTTATAGGGCGACGGTTGGGGGAAGAAGGCAGTTTCTTTTTTAGGAGCTGTGTCAATTTGATGAAGGTCTCTAACAACTTGAGGTGTGAAATTATATCCCATTGTTAATGTTTGGATCGCATCTTCCCTCCACTCAGCTCAAGGTAATGGGCATGGTTCTCCTACCTCTCCATTATCTTCATGATCACAAATCTTGGTAGGTACCTCACAGGTAGCTAGTGTGAGGTAGCTCAGCTGCCCCAGGGAGTTTTCATGGCTGAAAGGGGAATCAAATTTTGATCTCCCAGTTCCAATTCCAACCACAACAGTCTTGAGTTCTCGTGTTCAATAAGGCTTTCATGCCTCGTACTTATCAGTAGATGCCTCGTATCCCAAAAGTTGTCCTGCAGTGAGATCAGCAGTAAGGAAACTGGTTCACAGGGAAAAAGTGTGCCTGGCTTCTCTAAGACGGTGCATGAAAAGTTGTGCATGTCCCCAAAGGTGTGTGCTGGCCTTGTCTGTTAAGAACAGAAAGGCTATTCTGGACCAGACCTACCTACCCTTGCACTCTCTTTCTGAAGTGGCCAGTCAGATCCTGAGAAAGCAAAGTAGAATGCGAGTACAATAGCAGGGCCCCACTCATATATCCTCAGTAACTGGAGACATACCTCTTCTGATCACTGTGGTTACTACATAGTGATATATATAGTATATACTATGCAGCCAGAGACAGTTGTATGCTTTGTTAATGTGTAATCACTGATCTCACTTTATAATTGGCAGCCATCATTCCATCTGGGGATAGCAAATTCCAGTTTAACTCTGTGCTATGTGAACTTCCTTTTGTTTCCAGAGAGGTAGCTGTGTTCATATGTAGGAGCAAAACCAACAGTCCACCTCATCAGATAACATTGAATTCCAGTGTTATGAGAGGGAGGGGAAAACATCCTTTCTCTGTATCCACTCTGGTCACCCTGCGCATAATTTCACATGTCTCTAGTATGTTTCCACTAAACTGGCCTTTTTAAAGTTTAAAAAGTCCCAAGCATTGTAACCATTCCTCAGATATTATTTTTGTTACACTTTGGTCAGATAAATCAGTTTGGTGTACAATGTTCCTTTGTTTGAGATCTTAAAAATGAAGAATCGTCTTGGGATTCGATACAGTACTCCGCATTGTATGTTAGCAAAAGCCATCATTAGGAGACATAGGAAAATACAACAGGAAAGGTGGGAGTTGTAGGAACTGGAAACAATCCTGTTACAAAAGAGGATCACTGCTAAGTTTTGAAGGAGATCCGAGGAAATTAAATTGCCCTCATTTGAGTACCAATCAAATTTAGGTTTTCTAATTTCTTTAGCATTTTACTGAAAATATAATGGCTTTCTCCCTCTCTCTCTCTCCCTGCCTCCGCTGCCATTCATTCCATCACTTACTTAAAAAGAAAAAGCTAGATTACTTTTGATTTTGATGAAGCTCTTCTGAGCTTTTTTTGCAGACGCTGTTTCCTACCCGGTATGTCCCAGACAGATCGGGACTTTTAACTTGTTTCAGTGTATGGACTATGAAGGCCCTCCTAACCTGAGATCACATGATAACCTGTAGGCTGACCTGGGCTGGTTTAAAAAGGTAGCAATTGTTAGGAAGTAGGAATATTTTGAAAGTCTGAGATGGGTTGACTGTTCTATGTGCTGCTTTTCAGTGGAGACTGGGAAAGGGGTTGGGAGGAAAGAAGTCCAGACACTTGAATTTTAGGTAGAACTCTACCTTGGTTATTAAAAAGCTGTACGCCTTGGAATTCAATTTAACATTAGTCTTGTCCATTATTCATTCTAGTGTTAATTGGCAGAGTTGTCTTTTGGGTATTAATTTTTTATCATCTTTCTTAACTGCCTTTTAAACTTGGCTCACACATTGAAATGCTGCTCGTGACCTGCAATCCTTTGAAATCATAGTTTCCTTCGTGCGTCTGCATTTCAATATCCAGCAGCTAATTGTGGGGTCGGGAAGGGTAGCCAAGTAGGAGATGGAAGCATGGAATGAGGGGCTTAGGAACAGGAAGAATTTACATAGTAAATAAGAAAGGGATGGCAATGAGTCTGGAGGTAAACAGGAAGGATCTTGAGCATGAATTTGATATAACGATATAAGATGTAAATCAAAGTGGAAGATTTAGTCAATTTGATTTGATGAGATACGCGAGCCAGCTATTACGGCCATGATGCACAGATGGTACAGTGTGGAGGGAAATCTACCAATGTCTGTGCTAACATCCTTTTACTGGCAAGCATTGGGAGAGCAGAATCTTCCATGTTTTCACGGTGCTGAACAGCCTGTTGTGCACATGGTTGTTCTTTCTCTGGTGGTCTCACTGTCCCCTTGGACCCACTGATGAATTGTTGCTTTGGGTGGGGTGATTTCCACCTTGTGCAACTGCAGATCACAACGATATTTACACTTCCAGGACATTGCATTTGGTCATCTTCAACAGGATTCTACTGAAAATGCTTTGGTAGATGGCCCTTCTGAATACAGTATAGAGGAAAACATACTTCAGAAGAAAGAGTATTTTAGAGCCTGTAGTGTTTAAGCGAAGCACCTTAATGATATTTCTATGTGATGTATTTTGACACTTGCTTGATATTTTGACTGTTATTCACCCTGAAGCATGAAAAAGAAAACACATTATTTATGGAGATATAAGAGGAGGGCTGTTGGCAAGCCTGAACCACAGATCCCACGCCATTCCAGTGGACAAAATGTGTTTCTTTTGTTCCCACACTGCCACCTTTTGTTAAAAAAAGCTTTTGTATACACCTTCCCTTGCCCCTTTGAAGCAGTATTTAAAACTCTCGTAATCTGATGTCTCTGCAGCAGAGGGAAACCTTCTCTTTTTCATTGGTAATATTAAGAGGCATCTCTGAACTGCCAAAATAATATTAAATAAACCTAAAGGTTCAGTTCTATGCAGAGTTCATTGGGACCTACTGAATTCAGTGGGATTTCCTTTTTTAATAAACGAAGATAAGATTATGGCTATGACTGGCAGAAGTATTGTTGCCTGGGGAGGGACTGGACTCCACGGTTACTCCAGAATTATCTACTTGCTTCTGGCCAGCAGAAGATGATTGTGGTAGGAAACACAACAATAACTTTTGTGTTTAGGAAGATTTGGACATGCACATGACCTGAGAGGTGACAGAGTCATGTGTCCAATATCAAGTTGAGACCTTTGGGTAGTGTGGGCGGCATATAAATTAAATAAATAAATAAAATAAATAAATAAATCAAATCTAAAACTAAATAATCTATTTTCAGACACAATGAAGATTATTCACCAGGCACACGGCTCTAAGGTACATTTTATGATTGCTCCCTCTAGATAGTTCTCAATTTAATCTGTTGCTGTTGGAAGAGGTCTGCCCTCTACTAGGATATCAAAGCAACCTTAATTTTGATTATCCTATATTTATCTTCTTTTCTCTCTCCCACCCACCTCTCGATTTCTAGACCAATGAACTTGTTGTGGGTTTAGAAGAAGATGATAAGCTCATTTTGGCAGAGGACAACACCTTGAAAGCAGCTGGTGTAGGTGGGTAGTGTGTTTGGATTTACTGAAGTCTCCGTTCATTGTGCTTGTAATTATCCTGAGAATGGCTGATTATGTTTGGATAGCTTGCTGAAAAGCAAATGCTATTCCTGATGTTCTGAGTGCAACTTGATAATTATTCAGGAGAAGTTAGGGTGGGGGAGCCTAATGTACATTCAAACCATTGGGCTTCAGGGCACCAGTCTCTCTCTCTCAGAATGCTAATGGAGGCAATTTTTAAAAAAGTGTGCTTAGAATTCTGCTGAGGGTAATTTTAAATGATTGACAGCTTGGTTATTAGTACCATGTCTGCTTAGTCTTTTCGGTAACATTTAAACCGATGTTTTGGTTGGAAATGTAAGCAGTGGAACTCCTGAGGAGTAATGAGTTGAATGTTTTACTAATAAGATACTTTAGATTTGGATTTTTAAAACATGGTTTGAATTTTGGAACCAGAGACAGGCAAGTGATGGGTTGCACCTCACAAGAACTGGGAAGAATGTGTTTAAGCCACAGCACGAAGAACTTCATCTGGAGGGATTTAAAATGGATTGGAAGGGGGAGGGAGACACAAACCCAGAGGTAAAGATAAATGAAGGCTTATGTACAGTAAGAAGAACAGACTGAGCAGCTCTAATGGGGCTCAATAATAATTTTCATTAAAATGTATGAAGGAAAGCAGGCAACAAATCATACAATCTCCATGTCTATATATGAATGCCAGAGTACGGAAAACAAACAGCACAGTACTTGGAAATCTTAGGTCACGAGGTTAATATGACTTGATAGGGATGACTTAAACTTGGTGTGATGATTCCTGTAACTGGAATACAGCAATTGAAGAGTATAAGTGGTTCAGAAACAGTGGAGAGAATAGAAAGGAAGTTGCAGTATATGTTAAAAAGACACATTCCTGCACATAAATACAGGAAGATGATCTTGGTTGTCCCATTGAAAGCATCTGGATTAATACAACTGGGGTGAATAACAAAAGCAACTGACCACTCAATCAAGGAAAAAATGTGGATGAAACTTTTGAAAATTTTTAAAGAGGCACAGTGTAGGAGTAATGGGAGGTTTCAACTACAGTGGTGCCCCGCTTGACGACAACCCCGCTTGATGACGAAATCGCTCGACCATGAGTGTTTTGCGATCGCTATTGCAATCACAAAACGATGGTTCCAATGGGGTTTTTTTCGCTTTACGTTGATTAGGAGCCTGCTTCGCGAACTGTTTGTTCACTAAACGATGATTTTTCTGGTTCTGCAAAAGGGCTTCCCTCCACAAAATGGCTTCCCTCCCTTCGCAAAATGGCTGCTTTCCGGACCCCTGCTTCAGAAGACAGCGATTTTAAACAGCTGATCGGCGGTTCTCTATGGGTGATCTTCGCTGGACAATGAGTTATTTCCCCATTGGAATGCATTAACCGGTTTTCAATGCATTCCAATGGGTTTTTTCCGCTTGATGACAATTTTGCTTAACAGCGATTTTCCTGGAACGGATTATCGTTGTCAAGCAGGGCACCACTGTATCTTGGTATCTATTGGGAGGTAAATTTTACCAAATATGTCTCTTCTAAGAAATTCCTAGCTTGTGGTTGCTGATAATTTTCTCCTACGAAAATGAAAGAAGAAGCTAGACAAGTAGCTATCCCTGACTTGATTCTAACCAATCGAGAGGATTTGGTGGAAGAAGTGGCAGTAAGGGGAACTCTGGGGGAAAGTGACTTGAGTTGTTGATTTCAAAGGAAACAAAAGCAGAGTGCAGCTGCATGTATACTCTGGATTTTAGGAAAGCCAATTTTAATAAACTCAGAACTATGATAAGTAAGGGCGGACACCCATCAGTCACAGTGACAGATAATCTCTCTCCCTTATCACAACAATACAACCACAACAAAAAACACGCTGATCACCATAATCACCCAATCTCCTGAAAAGGACAAAACGCTGATTCCCACAGCTATAAATACTCAACTATCCCCAAAACTGCACCAGAGCACAGACAGAGTTCTGACTCCTATCCTCTGAAGATGCCAGCCACAGAGACTGGTGAAACGTTAGGAAGAAAAACCTCAAGAACACAGCCAGACAGCCCGAAAAACCTACAGCAAACATTGCAGAACCACTATCTATTTTTTCTTCTTCTTGAAATTGTGGAAGGATGGGTGAAGTGCCGGATGACTGGATAAGTGTTAAAGTTGTCCTTTTCTTCAGAAAGGGCAAAAAGGAGGAACCTGGGAACTGGAGACCCAGCCAGCCTGGCATCAACCCCAGGGAAAATTCTGGAGCAGATTATAAAGTGGTCACTCTACAAGCAGCTTAAAAACAACTAGAAGGCAACATGGATTTGTGGAAAACAAATTCTGTCAGACTGATCTTTTCTCATTTTTTTGATTGAGTAACCTCAATCAAATTGTAAATGGTGGGAATGCTATAGACCTAGTATATCTTGACTTTACCAAAGCTTTTGCCCCATGATATTCTGATTAGGAAGCTAACTAGGTGCAGTCTGGATAGAACAACAGTCAGACGGATTGATTACAGAATTGTACTCAGAGAGTACTTACCAGTAGCTCCTTCTCAAACTTGGAGGAGGCAACAAGTGGCTGGCCTTCTGGTGAATTTTTTTTCCATACATAGGTAGACTACTAGCCTTCCAATGATAGATAACACAGGGTGACAGTGGGGCTGTACTTAAAAGCTTACTGGCCTGGTAGATCCTATCAGAGACTGTGCGCCTTTGGCAAAGCCTTAGAGAACCAAGGATCACCTCCACATTACAGTGCCTTTGTGGAGGGATAAAATAATACTGAGACAGTAGCAATAGAATTGAAAAGAAGACAACCTTCAAAACTAACATTAAATCATTTCTCATTTATTTTATTTTGGGGGGAAAAGAGAGAAAGTATTAGGAAAGAAAATTAGCAGAAGTATTCAATAGAAGGAACTGTTAATTTTTCAAGATATGTTAGCTGATGAGGCTTTATCAGTGTGGCCAGTATTAGGGATGATTAAAGGTGATGATGTAATTTTCAATCTTTGTGTTGCATTTTATGCCATCTCTACATATTTTCTGTGACTTGTAAGTATTTTTCAAAGGTTTTTATCTAAAAGCAATAAATGAGACTGGCTAATTAAAGTTAACTCTACAACCATTTTTGGCCAGTTCAGATAGGGAGAAATTATCCATTTCCCTTCCGTCCTTCCGTCCTTCCGTCCTTCCGTCCTTCCCTCCGTCCTTCCGTCCGTCCTTCCGACCGTCCGTCCGTCCGTCCGTCCGTCCGTCCGTCCGTCCGTCCGTCCGTCCGTCCGTCCGTCCATCTATCTATCTATCTATCTATCTATCTATCTC